GAATATGACAGAGCAAATTAGTAAGAGACCAGGACGAGGGGAATTCTGAGAACCACCTTGGGAAGTAAACCTGAAATTCTGAAGACATGTTCCAAGATAATGAAAACCATGACAAAGAAGATAATGAAGTAAGAGCAGGAAACAAAATTATCTAGATGTTACTAAATAGTATTAAAGAGAATATAAAGAAGGTAGTTTTTTTTAAGGGAAAGTTAACCAACACTTCTCTAGACCAGGAGACTGAAAGTTACACTAATTAGTGTAGAACCACAGATGCATCCTGGAAGCAAATTCAAAGAAATGAGAACAACAAAAAGATCCTAACTCTTTTAAGCAGACAAAAAAAAGGATTATAGACAGGTAACTTAAAATAAGAGAAAGAAAAAATAAAAACTTTTCTTCTGTGATAAGTTGAACACACTCTTGGGGAGAAGCGGGGGGGGGGGTTCCCAAGCATAAAAAAGAAAAAGGTTAACATAAAATTATACCAAATCAAATTCGTGTGGTAGTCTGAATTCTTTCAGATATAGTATTTCAAAAAACTTACAATTCTCTCAAAGAAGAACAAGGATGCCAAAAGATTAGAGGTGAAATGAGACTGGAATTTAGAGAGGAATATATATATTTCACTTATTTTTTTGCAAAGAAAAGGTGACAAAGTTTATACTAGTTTGAGTTAACTTAACCAAGATAAAAAGAGACAAAAGAGAATTCTCATTCAGTGGGAAGAGAAAGAAGAAAAAAAATACTTTCAACATTGTAACCTAACATTCATAAAATAAGATTCTGAATTGCAAATCATTGCAGGAAATAGAACTAGTTTGTCTTTAAAAAGTCAAGCATCTCAATCACAACCATTAATCTCAAACAGTTAGCTCTATTAAAGCTTTCAGAAGAAACATTTAAAATTACAACAAAGGGTCCAAATTTTAAAAAAAATTAAAAAGATGTGAAAAGATCATTCAATTGGTAAACTAAAACCCCCTGTGGCCATATTGTCAAGCAAAGTATCTGGTGAAAAATACAATTGTTACACAGGATACACAGTCAGTTTTACACTGATAAGAGGCATAAAATATGTATCAACAATGGCCTGGCCTACTTGCTCAACAGCCACAAAATAAGTTTAACAAAAAAAGAAAAAAAGAAAGAAAATACAAGTAGAAATTGATATGAAAAAATAGAGAAGTCAATTTTATATACATCCTTATATGCTGTTGAATCAGCTAACCAAAAATAAGGACTGAAATTCAAAACAAATACACCTTAAAAAGTCACATTTCAAGTACCAAAATGTTTGCCCCCCCAAAAAAAGCACACTGGTTAAAGTATCTGATTAAATACAATTAGGGCAGAAATGAACATGCTTAAAGCACAACCTGAAAAACAAATTAGGTCAAATGTATATAAACACAGATAAGGTTAAAAATATAACGACTTTGGGGACAACACTATAACTAAAGGTAAACCTATAGTTACATATCCTTTTCTTTCGAGAAAGCAAAGAAAACAAGTTACGACTCAACTCCCTAGCGGAGCGCAGCGGGAAGGCCGGTGGGCGTACGCACGGTCGGCGGCAGGTCTTCGGCCGGCGCTCCGGCGGAGAGCAGCCCGCTCCTCCGGGTCCAGCCAGCGCCGGAGGCCGCAGCTCCGACCTCACAGACCTCAACCCCTCCCTCCCCGGCGGGCACTCCCCGGGAGTGTTAAATGGCGACGACCCCTCCCTCCCCTCCGCGCCCGCCCACGGCCGGAGAACCAGGTGCGGGGCCGCAGGTCCACCTGGCCCGGGGGCGGCGCAGGTGCTAGGCTCGCTCCGCGCCTCCTCCCACGCCCTGGCCCGCACTCCATCCCGGGACGGTCCCGGCGGGCTCGTCCCCCTGACAGGACCCCCGCCCCCGGAGGACATAATGCCCCTACCTCTACCCTCTGGCTCAGGCCTCCACACCTTTCTGTCTCCGGAAGGAGCCTCCGCCTGGCAGCCTCCCCGGGCCTGGGATCCAGGGACCTCGGCCACCGGCCACCCCACTGGCGGAAGGGAAACCTACACAGGCCCACTGGGAGGGCAAATACAAGGACCAGGACAGAGGTCCAGAAACGCATTTCGGAGTCAATTGGACAAGAATGGGAGGCTGCTGAGAGCCCACAAATGTACTCTTGGAGGGCTCTGTGTTTTCTGAGAACTTAGGTTTCCAGGGGAATGCTACCCTAAATCATTAAGAAAGTATTAACTGGCCTGCAAGGTGCTGCAGTGCAGGTCTTCATACCTGCGCTTAGCACTGTGTCACTGTTAGTCCCAAGTGTTGTCAGGTAGAAAGAGGCAAGATCTGATCCAAAGGCGGAGATGCTTGGCGGCACGGGTACCTGCACCGCAGCCCTCAGCTGAAGATCCTCAGACTAGCAGGGGATTCTGTCTCCATTCACAGCACGTGGCAACAGCAACGCCCACAAACAGCACGCCAGTAACTCACAATGAGGAACTGCTGTTTCAGATTTAAGCAACCACTGGATCGGTACCACCACGGTGCACCTGTGAGCGAAGCTTCTCAGACCTACCCAGTGACACTGGTTACATCTAAAGCTCAAGGGCTGTCTGCGGCGGTCTGAGGTCTCATTTCTCTGAATCAGGAAACACGGCCACCATATATCAATACTATTTTTATAGAAATACCTATACAAAGGCATTCTCAGGACCAACTTTACTAAAGCCAAAGAAACCCAATGTGCTGAACTGGACCTGAGATAGTAAGTCTACTAAACCGAGACTTGGCTGTTTTGTTTCAATGCAAAACTATGTGTTATGTAAAATGAATATTTACGCTCTAAATTCTATTTAGTTTTTTTTAAATATGTTTTATTGATTTTATACAGAGAGGAAGGGAGAGAGATAGAAAGCTAGAAACATCGATGAGAGTCATCGATCAGCTGCCTCTTGCACACCCCTTACTGGGGATATGCCCGCAATCAAGGTACATGCCCTTGACCGGAATTGAACCCGGAACCCTTCAGTCCCCAAGCCGACGCTCTATCCATTGAGCCAAACCGGTCTCGGCTATTTAGCTTTATTTTTAAAGTCAATGTAATTACTGTAGGTAAAAGAAGTTGATTCCTAGCTTCGTGTCTGTTCTATAAAATTAAGATAATTTTTAAAACTCCCAGTATAAGGGGAGTGCAGACACTCGAGTCTCCAGGTTTTTACCATCTACATCAAAGTACAACATGAAAATGAGACTCAGCAATATTTCTGATAATTCTAGAGAGCAAAGCCCTGCTACCCAGTCCAGCATGGCAGTCCAGGGAGATGGGCAATGTGCAGGAGGAAACATTACACTGGCATAATGGGAGACCTGAGTTCTAGCTCCTACTCTGCCTTTGCAAAACAGTAAATTTGGACGACTTAGGCTCTCACCGGCTCTTAATCCAGAATTTATGAAACTATACAGATTTCAAAAGAAGCATGTGAATTACTTTTATGATTGATTCAGCCTAGAGAACATTCAAAGAAAGGTCACAGTAAATATCTTTGTAAATATCTCCTAAACTGGGGGGGTGGGAGGGGCAGTCAGTTGAGAATTAAAGGTGGGCACACAGTGGAACATACAAATCTTATATCACAGAAAAATGTACACTTGAAACCTATATAATCCTATTAACCAATAAATTTAATTTAAAAAATTAATGGAAGTAAAGGAGTTATTTTTACTTTCTACTTTAAATATTTAAATATTTTGTGCTCCCATGGACAAATAATTTGTTTGCCTGATACTATACTAACTCTCCCCATAAGGAGAGTTGTCAGCCAACCTATAGGTTTATGGAGACAGAACCTCAGGAAGCTTAAGAGACCAGCATGGAACACTCAGAGTCATATTTACCAAAACAGATGGCAGAACAGAGAATCACTGACTCAAAGAATATCCAGTAAGAATTAAAAATAACTGCAGAAAGACTGATTGTGTTAAATGGAAATGATTTGACTGAATGTGGTATGTATGATCAATAATGATGTGTATTATGTGTACTACCAAGCATAGTATCTTAAGTGATGAAAAAATGGAAAAAAATGTCTATAGATCTTGTCTAACACTTAAAATCCAAGAGAAACTTTACACAACACCAAAAAAAATTAATATCTAAGTCAATCATCACTTACTAAAACCACCATGGGGGAGGCACAATATGCATATACATATGCATATATGATAATTCCAAATATTTAATACAAGTGTTACATACATACATATATACATACATAAATATATGTACATATGAAAAATCACTGTAAAACCACCTAGAAAGTTCCCTATAGAAATGTATTTTATCTCTGGATTTTAAATTTTAAAAATATATCTGTTTCAGTATCCTCATATGGGGATACTACCTATTTCAGACTTTCTGGGAAGATTAAAGATAAATCATTAAAAAAAATTTTTAAGCCATAAATATCTATACATATTAACAGATTCAGCAGCATTTTATAACAGCCTAAAGTTGCAAACAACCCCAATATTCACCAACAAGCAATTCAATCAACAAATCGTGGTATCTCCACTACTTGGCAACTATATGGGTGAATCTCAAAATAATTATACTGAGTTTTAAAGCCAGACAAAAAAGAGATCATATACTATATAATGTTCTTTATATAAAACTCTGGAAAATGCAAACTAATGTACGGTGAAAGAAAGAAGGTTGCCTGGAAGATGAGGATGATGACTTGTGAACAGCTGGAGGGACTCACAGGGGCACCAGGAAGCTTTTAAGGGAGATGAGTATGTTTATTATCTTGAAGGTGATAATGGTTTCATAAGGGAATATATGTGTCAAACTATAGACTTTAAATATGTACACTTTGTTGTATATCAATTATGCATCAATAGAGCTGTTTATTTTAAAGGTGATGGCAGTGTATATAAATTTGCATAAGTATCCAGTTTGTCTGCTCTATATATTTAAAAAACATACAAATGCTGATATTTTTCTTAAAGAAATAAACAACTTACTTTGCATTTCCAGCCATTGGTTGGTACTGATTTCATAACTGGTTGAAGACAAAAAGTATGATACCCTTTGTCACACGTATCACACACTAGCATCTTGCTATCTTCTCCCGATTGTCTAAAAAATAAGATAGCATTAATGATGCCTGACCTTTAAACTTATGTTTATAACATAAGTAATCATCTAAAGAATCAACTCTGGGATTGCCCAGTTCATCCACACCTCAGTGCCTGTTTGTCCCTGTGCAGATAATGACAAAGGCGACCCCTGGATGTGACAGCATTCGTCCCAGCTCCCTAAGGCTGTTTCCCGCTGAAAGCTCGCCTGGGCTGACCCTGCTTTAGGCATCTGGGGATTCCGCAGAGAAGGAGAGGTTACGGCAAGATGCCTGACTACCACATACTGTCCTCTCTTGGGAAGAAGCTCTAACTGATAGTTGATGCTGAAGGAACACCCTTTATTCAGCACAGTGAACTGGGAAGACACAGTCATAATAAAAGGAGGAGCAAATTTGGCATCATACCTATCGTTATATTCAACTGCTGTTTTTCTAGCTATCTGACTCCTGAATAACTTAGACTTGAGTTCTGTTAGTTTCAGGTATAAAATATGAATAATTACCAAAGGTTATTCTGAGAATTAAGTAATTCTGGTTGAAGAGCTTAGAATACTCACTAAGCAGCATGTACTTAATAAACAGGTATAAGAATAACAATCTTATCATTATTAAGAACTATACTAAAAATAAATATCTGCCTTGATTCTTGGCTATTAATCACTCTCAGATACTAAGAATTTAACTCAAGAGGAAGGGAAAGAAAAACTGGGGAATTCAAAAAGAATGGAGAGAGGAAATGCTGAATTAAACCTGGGGAAAATAAAAGTAAAACGGAAGATGGGTTAGTTGGTCTCCAGTTATTTCTTATTTAGCTTAACAAATTCTACATATAAAATTGCATATTTTATCTCTTCAGCTACATGGAAAGATCTCATATAAAAGTACTCTTTCCATAAGTTCTTATAGTCCCTCCCAAGAAACTCGGTACAGATACAAGGTACCAAATAAATATTTACTGATATTTCCTTTAATTTTTACCAAAATATAACAGCATTTGGCCCTACTTATTCCACATAATTCTGAGATACTGATGCTTTAAGAAATTAAATTATGAATAAAACAGACTGGTGGGCATAATTTCTCCTAGTTACTAAAGTCCATAGCTTGTAAGTAATTTAAAGACTGCTATAGATGCAGGTAACAGCCCCAATTTATAATGCTAATTAGTAGCATGAGAAAATATCGCAGAAAAGACTGGAGAAATGACCTAAGGATGGAATAGAACAAATGGGAAAAGATCACCCCATTGCAATGTTTAAATGACATACGATACTTTGTTTCAGTGTTATGGTGACTAGGATCTACTGACCATAACTGTCTTTCAGAGATCCAGATTTTTAAAAGAAAAACAATGATTTTAGTATAATTGTTCTTCCTGGAAAGGAAGGTGACTCACTTTTGGTAGTTAGATTTATTTTCCTATTAAATCCATTCCCTAGTTTCCCTCTAAAGAAGTTGCTTTAGTTTTCTAATATTTATTTTAAATTGTTAATATCACTCATTTAAAAAATTGTTGGCAAATTTAAATGAGCTTTTGTTTAGCCTTTTTTCAAAGTAATATAAATGTTAATACACATCTAGCATTTATTTCTTATTAAGACATGATGGAGGCGATGTGAATGAATATGGCTGCAGTCTGAACAAGCTTTAGCACATCACACAAACCTCTGGTACCTACAAATAGGGTCTCTCACAAACTCAATACACACCTGTGAGTTGAAATTAAAACTTACTTGCAGTTCTGGCACACTTTGCACTCAGGACATTGCCAACCTGCACGTTTTAATGGAGTAACCGCTATATCCAGGCACATTCCATGATAGTGCTGACCACAAGTAGTACAAAAGAACTGATCTAACAGGTCTCCCGGGCTGTCGCACACTGCACAGTTTGCATCTTCCTTTGCTATAATTAACAGTGAAACAATGAAATTGTTGTATAAGAATTTGATAATTTTCTGACTTTACAATTTAAAAATCACTTTAAAGGAATTTGCATGGTAAATCTTTCAGACACTTTAAGTTATCCACATTGAAGTGATATCCAATCAGAATATGGTCTCCATAGAAACAATGCAATATATTTAATCTAAATGTAATCACAGTCAGTTTAATCATCTGGTTTTGCAATTTGTGCCTATGTGTACTTGAGACCAAGCAGTTCTGATGTAGTCTTATATCCCTAGTACCAGTGACAATGCTGGGTGCCTACTCAATGCTTCACATATGCTGCTGAAAGGACCACCCAGGAAAATATCAACTGAGACGTTGGTAAAGTAAAACAAAAACAAAAACAAAAACAAAAAAACAACACCATTTTATTTGGATGTTAAATATATTCTGAAACTAACAAATAAGAGACAAAAAATTAAGAAATGTGAATATCCATTAGATTAAGATGCTTCTTAAGCATAAACAGACTAATTTTTATTTTAATCAAATAATTTTTTTTAATTCTGAAAAATACTGTATGAGGGAGAACATTGTAGAAGGAAGCTAACATTCATACCCAAACACAATACTTCATTCACTATTTCGATATTCATCTATGTTAATAGCAAGCTGTTTTAAAAAGCACTAAATTATATATAATTATGGACATCATCTACCTCCTAAATGTAGATAAAAAGAAATATTGCTTTTTAACAGTTCTTTTACCACTAAAACAAAAATATACTGTAAGAATAAACTGCCTTGCCAAGTACATAAATTCATTCACATTACAAAATAAAGAATAATGTTTTCTAAAATCATACCAATCTGATATATCTCCTATATAATAAAAGCCTTAGTGTCCAACAGTTCATTTGACCAGTCGCTATGGCATACACTGACCACCAGAGGGGCAGGTGGTAGGTTGGTAGGTTACCTGCTGCTGGGTCCGGCTGATCAGATGTACATGGCTAGATGGGCTGGAGGATATAATGAATATAGCTGCAGTCTAAACAACCCTTCCACGGTCTTTCCCCAGCCCCGGAGGGGTTCCTCATCCTGGCCTGTATCATTTGGCAATCCAGGAACCCTGGGGGGATGTCAGAGAGCCTGTTTCAGCCCAATCTCTGCAGGCCAGGCTGAGGGACCCCACCCGTGCATGAATCTGTGCACCAGACCTCCGGAGTATGTACACACACACACACACACACACACACACACACACACACACTATGCCTATATTGGACACTTAGGGCCTCAATTAAATGGTCTGATTAGCTGATTACCCTAGGATTGTTTATAATCCTATATTGTTTATAATCGTATATATAATTTTTTTCTCTTTTGTATTTTGAAGGTTTGGTCAGTCCTCTCTGACTACAACTCCTTTCTGCCTTCTTTCATTCCCAGTTAAGCATTTTGAAACAAGTAACAATCTATTCCATTTCCTTATACCAGTCAGCAAACTGGTTTTGTAGGCCATGGTAGTCTCTGGTGTAGACACTTTTGTTTTTATTTTAGAGGCCTTTTAAAATGATTAAAAATAAATAAATAAATAAATAAATAAATAAATAAATAAATAAATAAATAAAAATAAAATAAACCATTTGTAGCCTGAGGGCAGCACACACATGGACCCTGAGACTGAGATGTACATGGCCCCCCAAGCTGGACCCTGGTGGCTCCAGCTTTCACCCACCATTCATCCGAAGCTACTTTAATGAGGCTCCCAGGGTCACTTTTTAACCTTATCTTATTTGCATTTCGCGGCATTTGTATTACTATCTAAGTCCACCCCAAGTAAGATTTCCCTTCCCTGGGCTTCTAGGAGGGCCTCTTTCTCCTGGTTTCTCCCTAAGTCCCCATGTCTCCTCTTCCTCCTGGGTTGGATTTGTGCCTCCCTCCCTCTAAATGCTTTTGTCTAGTAGGATTGCATCCTGTTCTTTCTTTTTAATTCCCCTTGCCTTCTCTTTGTGATTTCATCAACTCCCATGATACTAATTCCCCAATGGTTATCACTAGCCCCAAACTTCTTTCTAAACCCCAACACACTATTTGCAAGTCTTCCTAAACCTCAATAGTCAGATGTTCTAAAAATATTCACTTAATGCCTCTAAAATAAAACATTTAAAAAATCTAACCGCTCCCCGCCCTCTTCTCTCAACCAGCATTAGTATCACTGTTGACCCTTTAACTCTTCCCTGACTCAACACAGCCACTAGACACCAACAACTTTCCCTGTCCCTGTCCTTCTATTTGGACATCTGGGTCCTTGCACTCCCTGCTGTGGTCACTGCAATGTGTTCTGTACGAAATCCCTGCATATGGCTCTGATCTGCTCCCTAAATAATCTAATTATGCATCCAACTGGTTATGCCCTGCTGAAATTAAAACTGCGCCAGTACTTCCTTTTTCACCTAAAAGTGAAAAAATAAAATCTTTCTAGTATGAGGCAAAAAAGAAAAACACAAAACAAAAAACAATTTCCTCCCTTTCCAACTGACTCCCAGGACCACTCACCAATTCCTGGTCACATCAAGCAGTTTGCTATGCACGAAACATACACTGAGTGGCCAGATTATTATGATCTCTGAACGCATAATAATCTGGTCACTCGATGTATATCCTATATAATAAAAGGCTAATATACAAATTGTCCCCTCAACCAGGAGTTCGACCAGCAGACAGGCTAGCCAACTGCCTATGTCCCCTCCTCTCTGGCCAGGCTGGCCGTACCCCACCCATGCACGAATTCATGCACCAAGCCTCTAAATACACACAAACACTGAGTGGCAGATTACTATGCGTTCAGTGATCATAATAATCTGGCCACTCAGTGTATGCTGTTGCTCAGGACACCTTCTATTCCCTCTACATGAAATGTGGTTCCCTTGTTGTACCCGAGCCCATTCCAAAGAGGCCTTCCAAACTCTGTTCAAACATTGTCCCCAAATATAAAATATTACCACTCCTAAGCAACTATGTGCATAGTTGTTAAATATTCCTTTCTCCATATGCTTAGAAGAAACTGTTCTATAATTAATTATAACACAATATTGTGCTCCCTTGAAGGGCAGGGACCTTATCTTTTTTACTTTGCATCCTCAGCTGCCTACACAAATAGTCTTATTAGATATATAGTTTAAGTAAATAACTTGCTTCTAAAGTCACTTTTAAAAGAATCTTTGAGCCCTAGCTGGTTTAGATCAATAGACAGAACATTGGCCTGAAGACTGAAGGGTCCCAGGTTCAATTCCAGCCAAGGGCATGTACCTTGGCTGCAGGCACATCCCCAGTAAGGGATTTGCAGGAGGCAGCTGGTCGATGTTTCTCTCTCATCAATGTTTCTAACTCTCTATCTCTCTCCCTTCCTCTCTGTAAAAAATCAATAAAATATATTTTAAAAAGAAAAAAGAATCTTTGATTGATAGGCATTAATTTAAAAATGGAAATGTCATAAATTAGTTCATTTTTTAAGGGTGAATTGTTTTTCTTAATACTCAAATGGAGTGTCAATATTTACTCATTCAAGCTATGGACGTTTAAAAACTAATCTCAGATATTTGCTACCCTCAGAACATATAGAAATTGGAGCAAGTACTGGACTCTGATGATCAAATACTCAATTCATCTTTCTATTGTAATTTGCCAGGAATACTGTCCAAAATGGGTCCATGGAACTTCCTAGTGTTTGACTCTGACACTTCCACTTACCACGGCAGCAACCAGCCAATGTGGCTACAATGTAGATTCCAAAAATATATTAGGAGAAAATGTCTACTATCTCAAATATTTTTTATTGATTATATGATGAAATATTACTATTTTGTATATACTATTTAACATGACCACTAGAAAAATAACAATTACTTCTGTTGCTCACAGGATATTTCTGTTACACAGTGAGCACTATTTTATATAACAAAGCCCATTTGACACCTAGATATATGTGTGTCACTATGGAAGAGATAACTTCATTCTATTACAGATTCCAGCAGTTTCTTAATGACAGTGCTGTCATATTGTTTGATTAGTGTGGAATTAGTAGCAAATTAAACAAAGAAAACATCCACAGGATACACTGGGTCCAGAAACATTTAATTTATGATATATAAAAATAATTAACAGCAAAAAAAGTGCTACATAATTAGTTAATTCCAACCGCTGCCAATCCAGGAGAAGATACATGCAGAAACGCTAGCACTGCCTCTTACAGATCATGCATAAGAAGATGATACTACTGGACAGCTTAAGTGTCTTGTCTCATGTAAGTATATGTCTGCACACCACACAGACATTAAATTTGAAGCAATAATCAAGAACTATGTGAGATTTTTCTTGAAGCAGCTGGAAAGCAGAAGAGACTAGAGGTGAGACTGGAGTGAATTTGAGAGGACAGGAGTGAAGTCCAGGTCACTGTGGCTCCAAAGGCCACGCTCTTCATTCCTCGTCAACACTGACTCCCAGGGGGAGAGCAAAGAAGGGGAGAACACCTGAGCTTGTACAAAAGCAGCAAGTGCCAGCACAGGCATAGAATGAGGAGGGTAAACGATTGGGGGGAGAGAGAGGAAGAGGGAGAAAAAGCAGAAGCAGAAAGATAAACTTTGGACAAGGTCACTTTCTAAGTGACAGCTGTGACAAGAAAAGATGGAGGAAAAGGCAAAAACAATGAGCTCAAAGTAGAAGAGAGCTTATCATGGATCCTTCAACTTAGTCAAGTTGGAAGGTGAGACTATACTGCTTACCGGTGTCTAGAAGCACGTAAGAATAAATGTGCTGGAGTAAATAACAAGTGAGAAATGTCAAATTGATGTCAGACAGCATCAGTTTAAGAAGGGCTACATCAGCGTGGCTGCTGCTGGATCAACAGCACCCACCATCGACGCCGTCACTGCTGGCAGAAAGAACACTGTGCCAGGTGGCTGGCCTACCACGGGGTGTCTCTAGAAAGAAAACGTAAATCATGGATGCTGTCCAGAGAGTCTGGCCCTTACAGTAGGTAGGCAGGCAGGTAAATAAGAAAGAAAGGCCAGGGGACTGACAGAATGCAAAGCAGAAATATAAGCACTAGCGAGAAATCAAGTTTGGAGTTAAAAGTATAACTGAAGTAAAAATTAAAAAAAAGCTGAGTGGTGGCAATAAATACACCGGAGAGGGGAGATGACAGAGAGAGAGAGAAACAGAGAGAGAAACAGATAGACAGAGAGAAAGAGAAACAGAAAGAGAGAAAATTCCCACACTTAAACCTGCAAAGGGTCACACTGCAGACAATCACATCAAACCCCGCCCTGTGTGACCTAGCCTGTGTTCATCAGGGTGTTGCCTCTACTATCCTCCCAGCAGACACGATGGCCCAGGCACAATGACCAGCGGCTGTCCACAGCTATGCCACGCTCTTTCCTCAGGCCTGTCAGTGTTGCTCCATCTGCCCGGCTGCTCTCCCCGCTGATCCTAGCTGGTGCCCTGCGTTCAGCTTTCCCTAGGAGGCAGCGCACTCCTCAGAAAGCACACTGGCCGTGTCTCCGTGACAAGCATTCAGTGGAAATTTTCCAGACAAGGTTCATGCACATCATCGTGACAATAACGCTGGAGGTATGGCCAGCCTCTATCCATGACACAGAGCATCCTGCAACTGCTTTCTACTGAAAGTCCTGGCCTTGCTCGCTGACACTGTCTTTGTTGGAATTTCTTTCTAATGGTGTCCATGTCTTTGTTAGATTTGTCAACTTGCACAAAAAATGTCAATCTTACTCCTAACTCAGCTAACTATCACTCTAACAAACTGCTCTACACTTAGCTATCAGTATTCAATGTATACATATAACTTGAGCTTTAGATAAGAACTAAAATCACTACCTTTTGTAAAGCAATTAATATAGACAAGGTCCGATGCCACATGATATTTACTGACTAGTTTCTTTTCACTTATCCCCCCTTTTTGAGACATAAAAGTTCTGTACTTTGTGCTATGACACACAATTAAAACAACTAGAAAGATTTTATAAAGACTACTGCATAGTCTTATATATTATAGAAATACATTATATCTTCAATATTCTCTATATTCTTGGATTAAGATGGATGGTCAGGAAGTTATGTATTTAGACTGCATTTTTCAAAATCCCCAAGAAATTGAATTTTCTCGGTTAGGCTTTGATTTTATACCACTTGCTTATTTTGAGATCTGTTTAAAAAACTGCCCTGTGGAATTTGTTTCTTACACTACAAGGCAGCTACTTGGAGACAATTTTAACACTGCAGTATAATGTGTGCAACAGTCTCCATATCAAGTGAATTCTTGTCATATTGCTATGAACCAGGTAACTCTTCTTATTGATTACTGGAAAGCTCTGGAGCCTATTTGTAGTTTAGGTTTAGGAAGTGTGTGTTTACTGGGTCCTGGCCTCACCATTACCTTCGTGTTTATGCCACATGTATTTTACAATGGCCAAATTTCCTTGCTTATTTTTATTTTATTTTATCCTACCATTCATTGTGTTTTTATGCATCTCCATAAGTCTATTTTGGAACAAGGAACAGTACCAATAATCTCAGAATATCTTTTGGTTTTATGTTGTCAGCATGAACCTTTCACTCTAGGATGAAAAAGGATGACAAATCATCTCACCACAGTTCTGACATGGCATTACTTTACAAAACAGTTTAAGATCTCTCACATATAGATGAAGTCTACACTGTGAGAACACAGTCTGCAGCACAGAGCAGTACAGCCATTAGACAACAAACACCTAACATCAGAAACACAGTCACGGAAAAGTTTACACACTGTTTACTGAGCTCTAAACGTGACTACATACAAAAGGCTAAGTAAAATTCAGATTCTTGCCAAAACCGGTTTGGCTCAGCAGTAGAGCGTTGGTCTGCGGACTGAGGGGTCCCGGGTTCGATTCCGGTCAGGGGCATGTACATTGGTTGCGGGTGCATCCCCGGTTGGGGGTGTGCGGGAGGCAGCTGGTTGATGTTTCTCTCTCATCGACGTTTCTAACTCTCTATCTCTCTCCCTTTCTCTCTGTAAAAAAATCAATAAAATGTTTTTTTTTTAAAAATTCAGATTCTTAAATACATACACAATTGCTTTTTGTGTAACGAACCACCCAGAATGCAATCGACTCTTACAACTGGCATCGTAGCTTGTGCACCTGGGGCAGTAATTCACTGCAGAGGCCTCACACAACACCGGCGGAGTGGCTGTGCGTGAAAGTTCTTTCTCTCCCAGATCTCAGTGTGTGATCCAAAACACTCAAAACTTCAAATCCCTCCGCAGCCTAAATACAATTTGACATTTCGGTTTGCCTTACCTATAATTTACACCTGTATGATGATTATACATGTAGACACAAAATAATTTTAACTGAATATAAAATTATACTACACAAAGATAAAAAATAATGATTATGAAAACTAACTGTACTTGAGAATACTTCAGTTTATGCCTCATAAATATAGATAGCTATATTTATGTTTCACAGAGATGAAAAAGATAGGAAAAAACCTTTATTAACATTGCTAAGAAATAAGTAAAGCTAACAATTAGATTAAAAAGATTGAAAAAAGCATTCACAATGAGATTGGAAATTCAATTTAAGAGGGAAAAAAGATGCTGAAGTATACATGCTTTTTGGAAATTCATAGAAATAAAAAGGTAAGATCTCTGTTTCATGACAAAGACTGCAAAGAATGCTAACTTTCTGTACAACATGAAATTCAAACATTTAAGTGTTTTTCACTTTAAAAAAAATACTGTCTGGAAGAGAAAGGAGAAAGTGCAAGTGTGGTTGCAGCAAACAGAGACAACTCAGAAGCTACAGGGACAGGTCCCATGAGGACCAGGCCGGTCTCAAGCCAAAGGCCTGTCAATAGCGTACCTCTGCAAGAAAGCCTGAGTTGGAGATTTTCAACCTTTTTCATCTCATGGCACATAAACTAATTACTAAAATTCTGTGGCACAACAAAAAGTGTATTTTTGCCTGACCAAAAAAAAAGGTATGGTTTTGATTCATTCACACTGGACAGTTAGTGTTGTGTTGGCTGTTATCATTTTTTTATAGGACAATCTAAGGGAAAAGAGGTCAGTGCCCCAACTCAGTAGTCAGATTTTGCATGTTTTAAAAGTCCTTGTACACATGGTTGAAAAATTAGTCAATCATCTTCTAATTTTCCAGGGGGTGCTGGATGGTTTTTAGTGTAAAAGACACTGAATACTGTTTAACTTTTTAAAGGACGTACTTTATAGTGCATATTGAAATCCTATATGTTAAGTATTTCTATTTTTTTACAATGTTTTAAAAAAATTTTAAATAGGAAAAACCATGTAAACAAAGTAACTTTTTGGCTTTAACTTCAATGAACCTGTTGATAACAGATTTCCCCAAGGACCTCTGGCAAGGATCCCTCAGATTATCAAGATTATATAAAGTTATTTTCTAATCCAAGCAGAGTAACACTCAGGGAAGTGAGGACATGCAACACTGTGAGTACATGTGCTAAGTGCACTACTTACATCTTTCAGGAGCTTGGTCGATGTGCTCTGGACAAAGAAGGAAGAAGTGGCTGACATCCTGGAAGGTGCCCGCCCCCACAGCACAAGGGTAATGGTATGTCTGTGTACATTTCTCTTCACAGCATTTGATAGTGGCTCCAAGGTGCTTACAAAATGCACATCGCTGAAGGGGGAAAAGGGAAAGAAATTTCTTCATAAATCCTGGTAGAGAAACATTCAAATGCAGGGCTAGGAAAGTGTTAAAAACCTTTGTACATCACTTGAAAAACTGAAGTTACAGTTAGCATTTCGCTTTCCCCACTGACTTTGTACAAATAATTTTTTTTTAAATTAGTAGTATGGTTAAAAAGACAGGTTTCTAGTTGAGCATTATTTTAAGTGTTTAAATCCTATCAGTAAACAAGTAAAATGAATATACAGTATAAAACATCTTTCACCCTGCCTAAAAATCAATAGGAAGTAAACTAGTCAATCACAGAGTAGGTTAATGAGGGACAACTATATTGTTCAATGCAACAGATGGACACATTTCATTGTGGTAATTCATTTTAAGTTTCTTAGTAAATGCTAGGAGTGTAAAGAAAAATTAGGTCATGAGTATCTTCTCTCTCCTCAGTCCCACCAATTTCAATCTGAGGCTACTCTCTTACAAGCAGTAAGAGCAAAGAAATTAGGCCCCCATGATCAACAGAGTAAGTCTAGGGCAGTGGTCAGCAAACTCATTAGTCAACAGAGCCAAATATCAACAGTACAACGATTGAAATTTCTTTTGAGAGCCGAAAACCGACTTCTGCGCATGGGCCACGAAGTTTCAATTGCACTGTACATGTGCACCTGCACGTGGTATTTTGTGGAAGAGCCACACTCAAGGGGACAAAGAGCCGCATGTGGCTCCCGAGCCGCAGTTTGCCCCCTGGTTTAGGGCAGCTGAGTGTGTAAGAAGTCAATCTGAATGATCGATCTATAATGCTTTACTTCCTTACCTCGCCTTTCCCTAAGAATGACTTGCTATCCGCTCAAGCCCATTGTGGACATCATTTCTTTGGTGGCACTTTCGCTGGAGGCCTGCACTGTGCAGGGTAAGCCTCCCTCTGTGCAGAAGAGGCCAGGCTGCCTTGTTACACTAGCCTCTGCGTTAGCACTTCTGATATTTGCATAGTGGTTTGTCTTTGCCTCCCGTTCCAACATCCCTGGGTAGAAACTGGTTGTCCTAGCTCTGTTCAGGCAGCACCACGAATGCCGCTGACAGAGAAAGGCCAGGCATATGTATCCTAAGTGGATGCCACTCTCAGGACTCTCATTTGTGAGAGCGGCTCGCAAATAGCACAGCTGGAATACCTAAAGCAAAACAGAATGATCTGCGGGAACACCAAGCCTCAAGGAACCACAGACATCTTCACATGCCAATGTTGACTCTACATTTCAACATTTATGTGTAAACCTGCATAAGCAAGCACATGCCCTCAAAATCTCATAACCTCAGGTCCTCCGCTTCGAATGAATATGAAAAATCTTAGCACCTCTTGGTGTGTCTGCAACACACTGAGTGCAGCCAACAGACCACAGCAGTCTTTAAGTCCTCGTAAACTCTAGCTGTATCTGTGCCATTTTAATTTTATACTAGAGGCCCAATGCACGAAATTCGTGCAAGAGTGGGCCTTCCTCTCTCCTGCTTCTGCAGGCTCCGGCTTCACTCCGGCTGCCACAGGCACCCAGGACTCAGGCTTCCCTTGCAGCCCCAGTTTTCTCTAATTAACAACATGTTATACTTTTATTATTATAAATAAAATCCACGGAGCCACAGACTAATGCACATTTTAGTTCTTTTCTGTACTCAAGGGCATGAAAAACACAGAGAGGTTCACTGGTATGGCTTAGGGATTGAGCATCATTCCATGAACTAAGATGTCACAATGTTTCTCTCTAAAAATCAATGGAGCCGAAACCAGTTTGGCTCAGTGGATAGAGCATCGGCCTACTGACTGAAAGGTCCCAGGTTTGATTCTGGTCAAGGGCATGTACCTTGGTTGCGGGCACATCCCCAGTAGGGGGTGTGCAAGAGGCAGCTGGTCAATGTTTCTCTCTCATCGATGTTTCTAGCTCTCTCTCTCCCTCCCTTCCTCTCTGTAAAAAATCAATAAAATATATGCTTTTTTAAAAATTAAGCCCTCTGCTCTACAGAAAACACTAAGAAAATGAAAACAAGTTGCAAACTAGGCAGAAATATTTATAAAATGCATCTCTAATGAACAACTTATATGAAGAATATATAAAGAATTCTGACAACTCAATAGTAAGAAGACAAATCAATTGGAACAGGGTAGGGGTAGGGGCAAAAGATTTGAACAAACACTTCACTAAAGATACACAACAACCCTAACTAGTTTGTCTCAATGGACAGAGCATCGGCCTGCAGACTCAAGGATCCCAAGTTCGATTCCAGTCAAGGGCATGTACCTTGGTTGCAGGCACATCCCCAATGGAGAGTGTGCAGGAGGCAGCTGATCAATGTTTCTCTCTCATCAATGTTTCTAACTCTCTATTCCTCTCCTTTCCTCTCTGTAAAAAAATCAATAAAATATATATATACTTTTTTGAAAACGAATCACAATAGCAAGTAAAGTACATAAGATGTTCAATCTCATTAGTCATTAGGAAGCAAAAAAGAAGCCCACAAGGAGGTATCACTGAACTAGAACTGCTAAAACTCAGAAACACTGACAATACCCAGTGTTAGCAACACCACAGAGCCAATGCACCTCTCACCACTGAGAAATGGAAAGGTGTACAGGCAAAGTTAAACATACACTTCCAAACAAACAATGTCGCATCCATGTTCACAGCGGCTTTATAAATAACAGCCAAGAAAAAACTACCCACTGGTGAATGACCATTATGCTAAGTACATGCTGTACGATTCCATTTCAGTATCTGCAAAAGTACAAGAAGAGGAACAGGTCAGTGATGGCCAGGAGTTTGGGGGGGAGGGGGGGGCAGCACTCTCAAGGGGGAGACTCTAACCAAGGGCAATGTTTCTGCATGGCCGTCCATCCGCACCCATCTCTGTCCCCAATCCTTTGGGGTCTCTCCCTCCCTCTCTCCATCTAACTTGGTGGGCCCTGCTCTGCCCCTCCTCCTGACACCTGTCTGCAGCCTCCCCTTCTTTTCCGGGGACAGAGCTCCCCGAAGGCTGTGCAGGCCCTGCCGCTGTGTGGAGATTATGGGGCGAGCCCAGGCGGAGCCTGGGAGGAGAGCTGGGGTGACAGGTCACAGGGAGGAGGAGGGAGGGACGTGGAGCTTGTGCCATGGGAGATGCACCCGGCTCCTCGGCTGCCCCCACCCAGCAGCTTTTCCAGGCCCCTGCACAGCTGTCGCCCTCTGCCCCTGGCTGCCTCACGCTTCCTTTCAAGTTTTGGACTCAGTTTCTCCAACTCAGCCCCACCCCCCTCTCTGCTGCATCCCAGGAGCCTGAGGCCGCCCCTTGGCCTCAGGCAGGTGCACCTGGCCTGCCCCCCCATAATGGTGCTACCCACTCTCATGGAGTAGTGAAATGTAACAAATAAAAAGAAGCAGCTCTGAAGATTATAAACTGTGCACTGAGAACGCCACAGGCTGCAGAGGGCTGCGCAGTCCACGGCTCTCGGATCACACATAACAGCCACTGGGTCCCTCCTGGCTCCCTCCCCCGCCACCTCCACTGGGGGCTTGGGCCAAACCATGGGAGCTTCCTGACAGCTCTAACCTCACACCTTACTTTCCAGTCTAGCCCACCAGTGCCCGCAGCAAGCTAGCCTAGGTCTGAGCATTTGCCCACTGGTGGTCAGTGCATGTCATAGCAACTGGTCAAACAGTCAAACTCCCAGGGGAACTTGCAATCAAGGGGACAATTTGCATATTAGGATTTTATTATATAGAATGTTTATATCAGTCAAAAGAAAGCTGGAGTGGCTATATTAATATTAGACAAAATAGATTTCCGAGTTAAATACAGGCTTTTTTTTTTTATTGAAGTATCCTTACCAGTATCTTTCCTCTGAACAAAGTTATTTTATACTAGAGGCCCGGTGCATGAAAATTCATGTGCTGGAGGGGGGGGTCCCTCAGCCCAGCCTGCCTCCTTCACAGACCAGGAGCCCTGGGGGGTAGTGGGGAGGCGACCTGGCGATCAGGGGAAGGTGACATCCCCATCACACCTCTGCTGCCAGCGAAAGCCTCAGCCAGCCCTGGTTACCTGAGCCTCGGGAGGCCCTGGGTGGCTGGGCAGCCACCCTATGGGGCTTGCCTGTCCCTCAGGCCGGCCCTGGGCAGTTGGGACAACTGCCATCCAAGGCTTGCCTGCGCCTTGGGCCAGCCTGGGCAACTGGGGGGCTGAGGGGACTGGGGTACTCCAGAGGCAGGTACCCTGGTGGGGCTGAGGGGACTGGGCACCACCATCTTGTGGCTGTGGGCACTGCCATCTTTGAGGTCATGGCAGTCAATTAGCATATTCCCTCCTTATTAGATAGGATAGAGCATTATCACAGCCTCTCTATGATGGAGAATTCAATGTTGTACACTAAAAAGTACCTACTACAGTCCCATAGAGAGAAATATACTGGAATTGAGATACAGTCCAACTTAAGTATTAAGCAAAAGGGTTAACATAACAGTCCCGAGATTACTATTCTTACCAAGGCCTGCTTGCCAGCTGGCACCCTCGATTCCCCAAGTGAAAGGGCAATTTTCTGCAGCTAGATAAGTGTGCCAACAGTGTGGCTTTCCCTCTGGTAAGGGCAGGCCCAGGGTTGATACTCTTGGTGCAGGAGCATCACACACATGCAGCTGCACTTTCCTTGCGGAAGAAGAGGGTGCCTATGTGACCCCTCATGGGAGGGAGGGCACCTAAGGTAGCTGGCACCGGGATTCTCCCAGAGTCTGCCAGTGTCTCTTCCCACTGAGATGCTCACCAAACCACATGAGCCTCAGCCATAATCACAACCCTATGGGTCCCATGGGTTCCTCCTGGGAGCCTCCAACCTGGACAGTCTTATAGACCCAGCACCACACTGTGAATGTTTACCTTTCCTCTTAAAAAACATCTAGCAGAAAAGAAAGTATATATACTTTGATAAATTTTTAAAATTTACATTACAGATCAGTAGGATTATCTTAATATATAAAAAC